GACAGCGAGTCGGCGAGAAGAGAGTCCAGGGACGAACACGTGTGTGGCCACTGTCAGGCCGAGTTTTTAGACATATCGGAGTTCATAGAACACAAGAAGGATTGTGATCGCAAGGTTCTTGTGCTGGGGCTGGCCGAAGAACCTCCTTCATCGGACCTCGAAGACATGATGGCTACCGGAGACGAAGATGAGGACGACGGCGTAAGCAGAGAGGGCGGTAAACGTCTGGAGGAAGAGAGGAGACAGAGGCAGGACGCGGAGAACAATAACAGTGGCGATGGTGAGACCGAGGGCGAAGGCGACATGCAGGAAAACGACATGCCTCTGGGGTTCCCCTTTCCTCTGCCACCAGTCCCAGCCGCTGCCAGCCACGTGACATTAGAGGCCCTCCAGAACACGAAGGTGGCGGTGGCTCAGTTTGCAGCCACGACCATGGCCAACAACGCGGACAACGCCGCGGCTTTGCAGGAGTTGGCCGTCCTGCAGAGCACGTTGTTCACACTGCAGCACCAGCAGGTCATGCAGATGTCGCTCATACAACAACTGCAACACCAACTGCAGATCACGCGCTCGAAAGAGGGCAGTCCGGTTTCGCCCCCACCACAGGTGTTGCCTCTCCCCGCTCAACATCAACCGCTTAAACCATCCAGGCCTTCGACCCCTGTCAAACACGATCCACCACCACCGCCACCGCCGACGACTCAGTCCATACCCGCGTCGCTCCCGACTCCCCAACATCAGCAGCACCAACCTCAACCTCAACCTCAACAACAACAACAACAACAACAGCCACCTCACCTATCCTGCACGACTCCGAAACCTCTGAACGCACCGAAGCCGTCCACTACGTCCCCACCGGCGCACGCATCGTCTCTGCCGCTGTGTTCCATCTCCTCGTCGCTCGCGGCTTCCATCATAACGAATCCCGATCCTCCTCCCCTCAACGAACCCAACACCCTGGAGATGCTCCAGAGGCGGGCTCAGGAGGTGTTGGACAACGCGAGTCAGGGTTTGCTGGCCAA